ATTGCGTGCTCAAGGATGTCTCTTTTTTGCAGTGATCAGAATTGTTAAAAAACCTAGTTCATACCATCAGTGACAGCTGACTCCTCAGTCCTATTAACTGTAAGAGCTGCAACTGATCAACAAAGTCACATAGCAGAAGCATAGAGGCATTTCTGGTGTTCTGTCCAAGACTGTTTCCCTGTCTAAGTGTTTCCAGCTACCTAAACTTGAACCAAATCTTATGTCTAACTCTAACCACTGAGGAGGCTTCTATGCATTAACAAGAGGGAAGCACTATACAATGGGGAACAGACTTTGATACAACACCCGACATCAGCTAGGCTAAAAACAAGCCTTACCTAGTCTGTCACGGGCAACATTTTGGCCTTTGTTGCGGCTCAAAAACCTACATCCATAGAGAAGTTTAGTCTTGTTTTGAACATAAACATCTGCAGATTAATTTCATACCTGATATGTTGTGATCCACTAAAGTTAGGCACAATAACAGATCAATAAGTCAGCCGTTTTATCTTGAAGGAAGGGACAACTGAGTGAGGTTCAACTCTTCTTTGTTTGGGAGGGGAGAGGTAGTTAGGGAGGGTGTTGCATTGGACACCGTATCCAAGGTTTGTTTTCATATAGCCTGTCTACACTGGTTAAGTGGACTGCACTTGCATAACGCTTTCCTAGTCTTTTGACCACTTTTACAGAACATATCACATGCACCCATTCACACACTGGTGGACAAGGCTTTCATACAAGGTGCCACCTGCTACTCAGTAACCATTCACATCCACTCACACTCAAATGGAATTTGGGGGTCAGTGTCTTGGCCAAGGATACTTTGACATGCCAACTGGAGGAGCCAGGCATCAAACCACCAATCTTCCTATTAGTGGACGACCCGCTCTACCTCTGAGCCAAAGTTGCCCCTGATAACAGGCTCTAATAGGCATATTGTGTCCCCTCATTCAACCATAGTCATGTATATATGCTTAACACACAGCCTGACCTGCACTGACAGCCCTTTCCTACTTTTAGTGGTAACTTACATGATCTTACATTCGATTGACTACAAAAACACGGGTCTCATTTTTAAAGCAGTGTGTAGAGTTCATGCTAAATTTGTATGTATGGACAAAAGCTGGAAATGATGTGAACTGAAAACATTTTGACCATGTGTACGCCTGCTAGTGCGCAATTTGCTTTTATAAATCCCAAACCTACTTTGAATTTCCATCTCATGGATTAGCCTCATATCCTGTCATCTACCTTCAACCATAAATGATCAATGCAAAGCACCTCATACATGCTGATGCATAGAAATAAGTCTGCTGATCAGTGGGTCTTTATAGTGAGTGCCGGGTGTCCCTGCAGTATTAACAGCGTCAGACTGACTGCTTCACATCTTGCAAAAATGATCATGACCGTCGGTGGTATCCCCCACTGTGAGATATCATTTATATATGTTAGATATCTGAACACAGTTTATCTATTTACAGTATTTAAGCTTTTGCAAGGTGATCTAGTCCTGCATTATGATTAGGACTCAAAATAAGAGTGTAATGATTATGTGAGAGTGGTCACTGGCAATTTACACAGGTGGTGAATATGGAGGTGAATGACTGGAGTGCGTGTTGCAGTTCCAGCAGTGTCTCCAGTGTGTTCTGTGTGTGTACAATTGTGTTTTACATGTTAAAACTACCTGAAAAGTAAAGTCACACTTGGTGATATTATATGCACAGTAATAGGAATATAATTGAAAACCACTGGCACTCGGTTCTGCAGTTATTTAATACTGTTTGATTTGTGCCTTCCACAGCTGACCGAGAGTGTCAGTAGCATAATGCTGAGGGAGTAGGGTATGTGATGGTGAGACGGCGCAGATGAAATATTGAGTGGGATTTGATTTGACATTTGAGTTGGCTTATATCGTTTCTAATTCAAAGATGCTTATGGAAGAGTCTTGGTTCACTGGGACAAGCACAAATAAAACTGTTGGATCTGATGTTTATGATGAAGTGCACCTGTAAGTAATGTGAGATTTGAAGTGAAATGAAATGAATGAGAGGCATCATTATAGGTATAATGATGCCTCTCACATTTCATTTCGACAATCTGGCTTCAGTTCACCACCTCACCATCTGCGTCTCTAATTTCCCCTGTCTCCAAAATGTTTGATTGTTTAGGTCAGAGTCTCTGTGCAGGTGTGCACATTCTCCCATCAAGTTTGTCTTAAAAGATCAAAACTTTTGCATGGACAGCAGTGAACACCTCTTTCAGGCACCTGTTTGGGCAAATGCAACGGTTATAAATGAGACGCCACCCAACTGGCCACCAACATCAACAAATATTGATAGTGGGTAGAATTGAGGTTGTGACATCTGGTGACCAAAATTCCATGTCAGAACAATGTCTGATGAAGCTCTAGCGAAAGTTCAGTCAGGAAGACAATACTTTCATGCACAGGCTGTAAGTTTTCTTTCTCACCCTGCCATTCACTCCTTGGACACATGCTCACTCACTATCTCTCCCTGTCATTGTCTGGGTCTGTCAGACTTCTGTTATATCTTAGGGTGCTTAGACACCTGCCCTGTTTGGCTCTGTTCAATCAAACTCAAGTTTGTTTGCCCCCTAAGTGTGGTTCATTTGGGCAGGTGTGAACGAAGCAATCAAACTCAGGTGCGCACCAAAACAACTGGACAGAGACCTGTGGTCTTGGTCTGGTTACAAACGAACTCTGGTGCGGTTCGTTTGTGGTGAGAATGTGTTCCGACCTGGATCTGAACCAACTGCAGTCACATGACACATTGTTTGGGTTAAACATGAGCATGTTACAGTCCTGGAGGATTATTAATGTGCACCTCCTCCTGTACTGCCTTAATATGCACATTCAGCACATCCAATGCATCAAAACATTGTTTTCTAGTTGGAGCCGCGCCTCGTTTTCAAACTGTATGGTTTGACTAAAATGAACAATGACAGCAATATAGTCCACGATGAGCAGCGCTAAAATCAACCTGCGTAGTTGTCCCTCCATTGTGACATTAGAAAGTGTCACATTTATCTTGCAAGTGTACTCTTCTTCAATGTTTTGTTCACTTCCTGGATTTTTCCCACATGGAAATTCTGACCAATCAAGAACAGCTTTCTCACACAAAGCATTTGATCTGGTCCGCTTGTAAATGCTGCCGTGAGAACACGAACCAACTCTAGGCAATTATACAACTTTGTAACAGAATCAGTCCCTGATTTGGACCAAAGCAAGCGGACTGCTGAAAGATTGATTGACTGATTGAAATGCCGATGTCTCCTTGCCATAGCAAAATGACTTTTAGCTGTAAAGTATGGGGAATGAAACCCAACGTCTGCAAAACATCATAATGTTAACGTCCACATAATGTGAAATTCTGAAGTCATTAGACAGTTAAAATACCGTCTACTGATTTTCATTCCAACCAAATTTAAGGTTTCTCCAACTTAAGAGTCCAAACTCTGTCTGACATCATATTGATGTCCTGTGCAGGCTGGGCAGGTCTGCACATTCATCACTGCTTGAAAGGTAGCCCCAGGTTGTGCCTCTCATGTGCTCCTGTTACATTATATTGCAAAGATACACTCATCGAGAACATCCTTCATCTTTGTCACACCTCCATCCAGCTCCAACACTCACTCGGTTTACTGTCTCCTATACACACTTGTGTCATTTCAGATCCAGCGGCTCCATCCTGCCCAGCAGTAACCCCCTTTTTCTTGTAGTTTTCCATCACATGACCTTCCCCTGCTTCCTATTTCCTGATCACCTTGCAGTATTTATAGCAGCCCATCTCTACTCATCCTGCCCTAGTTTTCCGGCCTTTGTTTCTGCCTGTCTGACCCCTCTGCTTGATACATGGATTGATGATTATTTGCCCGCCCTCCCGTCTGGTTATGTTTGCCTGTTTTGACTAATTACCTGTCTGCGATCCTTGCCTGTCTTTGGACTTCAGAGAATGAGAACTTTAATAATCATATAAACAAAACATCTTTGTGTCCTTCTGGGTTCAAGCTTGTTGTGTTTCTGAGTCTCTGCTGGAGCAACACACTCTTCACTTTTTACCACAAGACACAGTATGCTACACACAGCACATGTGGGGAGAATATTAGATGACATGTTTTAATTTTTCATGATTAAAAAAAATGGCAAAAAAAACCACTTGTGCCAGGAACAAACATGTCGAAGCTCCACCCACTGGCTGATCTGCGTAGTTTCTTTGGCTGACTTCAGGGTGAGATTTGACACGTTTCCACATATTTGATTGCTCTGGGACTTTTAATCTCTCAGGTCCAGATTGTTTGAAGGCAGAAAAATAAGAAGCAAAGGGAAGTAGAAATCCTAACAAATGCAAAAAGGGTTCCAGCACCTACAGTGCTTGGACTTCAAATTGCAACTAAAGACACCTCTTAAAGTATTTTCACCCCTGTGGGGCTATTTAATCAAAATGCGTCTCTGGTGTCCTTATGGCTTGGATTATACTTGACGGCCCAAGGTAGGAAGAAAAAAAAAAAGGAACTTAAGGAGCCACAAAAGAGCCGGAGGGGGCTTCAAAGACGGCAGATGAATCTTTGTCATTGGAGCTGTGATTGGTGCTGGGAGGAAAATCGCCCTAGGGCAGTCTGGAGGATCCTGCTTGGTGTTCATTTTAAATTCCTCTGACAGAATCTTTTGGTGTAATTCTTATGTCTCATGTAAATCCAGCCAGTAAAAAAAGCCACATGTTCCAGAGGGCATGAAGTCGCAAAGCAGTTCCTTTAATACGATATGTGTAATTAATACCCGATTGACTAGATGCTACGAAATATTTTAATGATTCCAGCATGTCTCAGCAGAGGAAATATATAACCCATTTAACATGCCCATTCCTGGTGAGTTTCCTCAGTTTCTCCCGTTTGTCCTCCAGGATTCTGGGCGTAAATACACCAGGATTACATGCAAACCCTTCAGCGTTTCCTGCTGAGGAATGACAAGATGACGCGTCTTGTTTAGTCAAGCCAAAACATTTAATACACACCATCGCAGGAGACATGCACTTGAAGCACTTTCCCAACTGTAGCTCCCATTTTGAAAACACATACAAACCATAAAATAATTTAGAACAAAACACATATTAAAAAAAAAAAGGGTTACACTTTTTTTATACATGTTCATAATACTGCTTCATAAAATGTATCACAGAAATTAGCTTTTGACACAGAGCAAACCATAGGAACCAACTCAGGTATTACATCGACACTGTGCTTGTTGATAGTTAGCAGAGAAACTGTGAACTGGTGACATCCGAGAGGGAATGTCACAGAGAGGACAAAGAAAGAAGAGTCTGTCGGAGGAGGAGGAGGAAGAGAAAGAAGGAGGGGGGGGGGGACTATATCTGTCTCTCTCTGATGAGAAACAATCCAAGTGTGCTGAAGGGCAGAGAGGTCGATCGCTAGGCGTAGAAGGTCTCTACTTTCACTGCCTGACAGAACATCGTCATGGAGAAGACCAGGCCCAGGATCTGCACAGACACAGGAAACAAATCAGCCATTAAAATCTGATGGGCTCAGATGTGTAAAGTCACAGTGAGATGAAAAGGAACTCTTCTGTCTGTTTGGCTTGTTCTCTGTATCATCAGAACGTACACCTGTTTCACAATAAAAGCCAAAAAGATTTATTCTGTCGTACTGTTATATCCAAATCTCATTACGTTTATTTCTTGGATAACAAAAGGAAGAACATTCACACTCTCCAGTCTCTGCAATATTCATTTATTAAATGTTGCACAGACTGGAGTGTGTGGATGCTTTTCCTTTATTACAGATTGTATCTTACAGTTCCAGCATCTCCAACAAACACTTATCTGATGAGCACTGATTTTTGTTTTTCCAACGACCAGAAAGCTTTTCAGTCAGGGTGTTCTGACTCCGAATAGCTACTGTAATGTCATCGATCGCTTTGTGGACTCCTGTTTTGAAGCCTCAAGTTTGGCATTTTGGCCGTTGCCATCTTGTGTTTTTTGGAGCCAGAGGTGACCATATTTGGGCAAGAGGCTGGTGCTGTGGAGGAGTGTGGGAGGGGATCTGACAACACATTCTCACTCCGACCTCCTCACATATCGATGTTTGGTCATGGACTTTCCACGTCCAGATACAACGTGCAAGGTACCCTGAGTGCGTTGGTTGCTGATTTTCTGTCAAGTTTTGCCTGTTGCCTGTTTTTGTTCTTGTCCCGCTGCGTTTCCCCCTGATGCTGCTGGGCTCTGTTAAACTATAACGGTGATTGGTGGCGTATTATACCGAATAATAGGACAGCTTTTTTTTTTGTCACTGTCTGAGGCTGCAAGTCACTTCCCAAGCGCTGAATTTTAACGACTTGGGAGTGAGACCAGGTTGGATCTGACTCAGCAGACAGGCTGTCACTCAGAGCTGCCCTTAATTATGTGTAACTTTAGGCTTTAAAAATATTTAAACTCGTGAGTTGTATAAAAACTAACCCCCCGTACAGTTGTCATGAACGGGGAAATTAGTAATAACGACCAAAACCGTTTTTTTGTACCAGGCTGTAGTTGGGCATTTTAACACTGGGGTCAACTGGCCATTCAATGAACGAGGTTTTGGCACTTGCGCATTGACTACATTTTTCAGCCCTATAGGTTTGCGCTTAATACCAATGCCTCATCAGTGGCCCTCTGCATCAGATACTGACGCACAGAGGCACCCTTGACAATAAGACGCAATCAGCCGTATCATTGTTAGATGCTCAGAGCAACTGACATGGTATATGGAGCAAGAAATAAGATGCTTTCGTAACCCGAACCATGATCTTCTTTTTAAACCCTAACCAATTACTTTTGTTGCCTAAACATAAAAACACAGAACTTTTTTTGAAAGACACTGTGTGTTACAAGCAGAAATTGAAACGCCATCCCCAAGAATCCAAAACTGACGATCAAGGGGTAACTAGAGTGTCATCGTTTGACACAATCTTGTTTGACATGTTTATCTATATGACATCAGGTTAGTCAACATTTGTGTACAACAAAATATATTAGAATTTTTTTTTTCAACTTACATTCGGAGCCATTTGTTTTCACTGTTGTGTTTTGTTAAGGTGCACTCTGACATGTAACCAGGGCTTCAGATGGCCCCTATTACAGGTTTGTTGGATAATCAGTGGGTAATGTCACTTGAAAATAGACTAACTAATAGACTAACTAACACTTTAGTTATTAAAACAGCAATAATATAATACATTTGGCAGCGCACCAACTTTGCACAGTACTATACAGCATGTATCTGAGCTTTACATCCACATGCAGCTGGTTGAAAATGTGAACACATCTTTTTCTCTCTGATTCCAGACAAATATTGAGCTTTACAAAAATGGCCTCCAGTGTGTGAAATCTTAAAAATCCAGGTTAAAATGTCAGTGTGTACGGGGTAAACAGTGCTTTTGGTGTAAGCCAGCCGTTGAGTGTCTGGGGTTGTGTGCTGTGAAGTTCAGCAGACAAGCTTTAGTTGCCTCTAACTTTCTTTCACCAGGTCATGTTAATCATAAGTGCTATATCGTAGGCAACTAGAATAGCTCGAGTTTCTTTAAGATGTTTCGCCTCTCATCCAAGAGGCTTCTTCAGTTCTAACGGACTGGTGTGGAGTTGCAAGCTTTAAACTCCATGTGGGTGTGAACCTTTAGAGTCGTCGAAGTCACATTTGAGTCATTGACCCACCCAGCCATCATGTGTGTCATTAGGGTTAGATGGGTCCAGGTGAGAACAGGTGGAGAGAGATCTCAAGACCGCATTGTAGGTGGGTGATAAGTGGTGTCGTAGGCCAACTCCTCCGTTTATCGATGGTCGTTCCAGTTTGACATGGATGGCTTCTTTCACGCCTCTGTCAAACCATCTGTCTTCTCGAGCCAAGATGGGCACATTACTGTCTTCAATGGAGTGTCCCTTTTTCCTCTAGAGGTAAGTGGACAGCTGAGTCTTGACCTGACAAGCTGGCTCTCCTGTGCTGGGCCATGTGCTTGTAGAGTGGTTGTTTAGTTTCCCCAGTGTACAAATCTATGCATCCTCTTGTCTGTCCCAGTCAAAAGCAGAGTAATGTAGTTTATGAGGTTCAACCATTAAACAGAGGAGTTGAAAACAGGGTTTCAAAATGTACCCGTAGTCTAATGTGTGTTTGTGTTTATCAATAAATTCAATGATGTTCTTGACATGACTTTCACACAGATCCAACTGTTGTTGAAAAAATTACCCACAGTGTCATGTTTTAACCAGTTTATTGTTACACTTCACGGCTGCTGTTAATAAGGTTTGTAACACATTTAAGAGATTTCTTTTAGGTCCTCCAGTGTGACTCCCAGTAAGGCTACAGTTGATTCTTGTGGGGAATGGTGATGAAACACTTCCTTGAAGGCTTCAAACACTTCTTCCCAGAACTTAATTTTAAGTGCAGACCAGGATACATGAGAGCATGTCTCCTAATTTTCATACTGCAGTGTCTTCCTCATTTGTAGGAGGGTGTTTGGAATTTTGGTCAATATGGTGTCCTGAAATAAAACTACTTCTCATATCAGTTCAGACTCTGTCTCCAGGAGGAATGCCTGTGATTATTTTAACCCCCTTGAACTCTGTAATATAGACGGTCTGCACTATATTACTATCATAGTACTGGTACTTTTGCTTATTGTAATGTCATATCCCTATATCTTTTTACCGGGATAAATCACTGTGGCACTAAGTGTATCCCTATGTGTCCTGCTCCAGAGCAGGACACATAGGGATACACTTAGTGCCTGTTTATATGGTTCCGTATATTTCTGAAAACGGGTATTTATCTTTGCGTTTGCACCTCTCATTTATGCGTAACCGGCATTTTTCTCGACGAAAACTGAGATTTTCAAAAACGGCTTCCAAAGTGAAAGTTTTTAAAAATATCCGTGTCTATGGAGACGTGTAAACAGGATAGACGGAGATTTTGGAAAACGATGACGTTGCAACCCAGTTCCCGAATGCCCATTAGGCGCCTGGGAACCACAACAACAATGGCGGTTGTTTACGTTGTGTTAGCACTTTTGGGACTACTTACGAGCTTACAAATGACCTTAGCACTGCTGCATCAACATCACCGCTACATCGGCGAACAAAGACGTCTGCTGTGCCCAATATTAGTAAGTGCATAGCATCTTGTTTTTATCACTAGCGCCAAGAGGAAAACAAATCACTGTGCGTGCGCAGAACGTTCTTCTGTGGTTGATATGTGGTGTATTGCCACCTACTGGCCTGACATGCTAATTGCAGCAGAAAGCTGCAGTTTTTGCATTTTCGTGTAAACAGGGATATCGTTTTCACAACTGATCGTGTAAACCTGGAATCTTTTTTTATATGTGTTGTTTATGAAATAGCGATGATGTGAAGGTGATGAAGGAGATTTCGCTGACACCGTCTTGCTTGTATACAGAAAGGTTTATTACAAGAAGTACAGCATCAAATCAAGCACCTAGGATTGCCTGAGAGAGGGTTCGAAGCCAATATGAACTGCTCTGAATAACAGCCCCAACTACCCTGTTTATATAGGTTGGTTGTTTTTGTGAAATGTGAGACAAAGATAAACAGATGACAGAGAGACACCCTAGTCGGACTTCACTAATCCTTGACCCTGGCCATATGCCTTCTTGACCCTGGGCCCCTAACTGGTCATCTGACCCAAAGCATCACAGTAGAACTTCAGATACCACATACGGGATAAATAAAAATCCGTTTTTATTTGTATCGGCATCCGTGTAAAGAAGGCCTTAATTTAAGTCTCAGCCGACAGTGAATTTTAGGATAGTATTTTCAATATTTCTGCATTTCTCTCGCAACGGCATACACTTGAGGTCCCGTTTCATCTCATATCATATCATATGGAGCAGCCTCCTTCATTCATGGTTCTGATGATGTTGCTCATAATTAACACCCCTGCTTCATTCACATGAAGGTGCTCATGGCTGGATAGGAAAGCCCAGAGTTGACTGAACTACTTGATAACAAGCTTTGTAGTAACGGTTATCCAGACGGCCAGTGTTAAGGTTAGTTAAGTCAGGTAATGGAAAGATATATCCTAACTTCTAATTTCCTGAGCTTAAAGTTAAATTGTTTGAATTGTACAATGCTGTGACTCAGCAATCGTCACAGATATTTGATATAAGTTTGGCAGTGATTGCATCTTCCCTCTGGTTCTCATCTTGCTGCATGTTCGAAACAGACACTGAGAATCTAAACAGTGATTAAAAATGAGCCTGCAGCATCACAGCCGCCTCGTGTGACTGATGTTTTCAAGAACAGCGTGTTTCTGCTCTCAGCTTGTGTAAGCGCATCACGTAGCACTTGGCTGGGAAGGACATAAAAAGAATTTTACGGAAAGTCAAACCCTCCTATGTGGTCTACAGTGGCAACACAAGAGGCTTATATAGGCTCCTGCTGTCCGGAGAAATCCTGCGTTCAGCTCTTAATGCAGAGGACACTGGAGGTATTAGGTTTATTTATCACAAAGTAAGAGCCTCCGTCTGAGGCGGCAGATATCGAGGAGCGAGTTAATGACTGCTGAAAAAAAAACCCACACAACTTAAAAGCTGTAATTACCTGAGTAAGTGCTGTGCATAGAGCAAAGATCCAAAGTGCCACCAGGTTCTCATTAAGCCAGTCCTTTACACGCTCGTAACACGGCTGTGGAGACACACACACACAGAATGAGCAAAAATTAGCACACAAATGTAAAGTCACCATTTAGATGTTCAGTGCAATATACAAGAGCATGGTTTGCAGCAAGCCCTCTCCTCCTGTAACTGTGATAGAAAATGTTCTTTGGCTAAAAGATCCCCTGTGGCAGCATCCTTATCTCCCCTCTCCTCCTCTGACCTAATATTCTTTGGGAAAACTTTCCAGAATTTAAGCGAGTCCCCGATGTCCTTGTCTCTCCTCAGCTGTACAAACAGGAGTAATGTGAATGCGGGAGCAGCGTGTACACTGCAGCTATCATTTAGACATGAGAATGGGGTGAATTTTTCATGTCTGGCATTGTGTGAATGCATTTTGAAGGCATCTTGACAAAAAAAACAAAAAAACAACAACCTGCCGCTGCTCCCCCATTTCTTGTCATTTCTTGTCATTTTCAGCACCTACAGTACATTTCAAAATCTCTTTTCAAACTTTGGGAAAATGTCCCTGAGCCGTATTGTGCTCAAAAGGCTGAAAGAAAATAAAGATAATTATTATTGATAGAGGAAATAGAGCCATGCCCTTCTGGGTCAGGGATGTGTGCATGTAATGAAAAGGAGTTGGAGCCACAAAGCAAAGAAAATGGCTTTCTAAGAATGGTTAAAAGGTGACATTAAAAGTGATGGGAGTGGTATTTCAACACTTTGCCTCTATAGGACATTTTAAAGATATGTGTGCCAAACTTGTTTTATTATGCTACACTGGAGCAGAGACTGTCTGACCCACTGTAGTAAAAGAAAAAGGTGCTATCATAACCGTCTACGGCGCTGCTCTAATTTAATTATTCATTTCTGCAGACATGCCTTCCAGATTGTGCTATTTTTTAAATCTCCTTACATCAAGAAGCTGAGTCAGAGCTGTGGAAACCAAACACAATCTACTCTACATTCAACTGCTACCCCAAAACACTGGGTAAGCAAAAAAATATATATTTTCCTTAGCTCTGCTGGATCAATATGAAAAGTTGTGCGGTCTGCCAACATTTAGTTCAGCTTCAGTGTTATTTATGAAACTGCTGCCCAACTGCAACCCTCCTGGACCACAGAGCTGCACCTGAAAATATATATAAATTCAGATTTTTATTGTTTGACGTGACTGCAGACTCCCATAAAAACTGGGGGAAAAAACAGATGAGTAAACCTGAACCTGCTCAGTCAGTCCCAGCACAGGGACTTCAGGTGCTGGAAAGGTTTATATTGAGTCTTTTTGACTTGAAAACTCTGGCTACAGTCACACTGGGATGCTGTTGGTGGTCCGTGCTGGCTCAGCAGTGTTTGTACTCGTCTTATGTGAAAGGGGGGTTTCCCATCACCCCCTCTTGATGTGGACAGCCCCGCTGGACCTGCTTTATCTCTCTGTCCTCCTCCTCACTGATAAGATGTTCTGCTCTGTGTAGGAGGATCGCCTGAGAGCTCAGAAAAGCTCAGTAGGTGTATAATTGGGCTTAGATTATTTTGTGACAGTGACTGTTACAAAAGGTCAAAAATGAACTTCCACACTGGAAAACAAAATTGTCATTGCCTTTCAAAACCTCTCTAATGGGTGTTTTATAATATTGAGGTTTGCTTGAGTTCAAATAAAGACTTTGTTCAGGTTAGAAGAAAATCAAGGTCATGGCTAAAGAGTAACTTAAAAAAGAAGTTATTATACGTATACCGCTCTCCCAGGTGAAAGTCGGTGGTTGCTGATTGTGATAGTTGGACTTTAACTGCCTTAACTAACATTCTTCTACTGCTGCATTTCCCCCCGATGCAGCAGAGCGCCATTAAACTGTAACAGCGACCGGCCGCGTATCATGCTGATGTTAAAGGAAGGCTTTTTCATCACTGTCTGATGCTACAAGTCACTGCTCAAGCGCTGGATTTTGACAACTTCGGAGTGAGACCGGGTTGAGAAAAATGAAGGCATCCTGAGAAGAGTGTTCCACGACTGTGAGAACCTGAAGGACACAATGATGAACAACTGATTTTGTACATTAAATTCTACTAGAAGTCGATTTATCAACTCTCCAAAGCTGCGCTCTTCCACCTCCTCTGCAATTAATGATTGTGATGTGGGTTTATGCAGCAGGATCTTTCCAGTCAGTTACTGATGAGGTATTTCATGTAAGCTTTAAGTGTCATACTCAAGGAGTATGCTTTGTGCAACTGGCCCCAGATACTTATCCACTGAGACATCCTTAGCATTGGTATGAGGTGCATTGGGCATCGTCATTTTATGACGCTTCTCTGAGCAACTGCGATAGTATAAAGAGCAAGAACGTCTCCATAAAGTAGGTGGGAGGTGAAGTGGATGAGTCAAACAAACCCTGGACTTTTACCCAGGAGACCACCGTTCATGTCCTGTTATTTAATGACAATGTAGCATCGTATGCTACAAAGTCTAGCATACAGTATACGCTAGTGATGTATGTCAAGGGCTGTTATTTTAAGCCTGACCATATTTCTTTTCCTAAACTTAACCACATACTTTTACTCACATACTCACATTATTTATACCCGACTATCTCCATCTACTCCTTCCCAGTTTGTCAGCGTTAATTCACGCCTTGCTTTGCAGCCATCTGAACCTGTACCCTGAACACAAACCCGTAACCCTAAAATCTGGAGCCTGTACCTGCCTGTAAGATAATGTACCTTCATTTAATCAGTCAATCCCTGAGCTGTTCTTGTCTGCATATGAGTCTTCCTCCCTTTGTTGCCAGCATTCGCCAGACATGAAAAGAAAGAGATCTCTTGAAAACGGGTCCATGTCATTTGTCCGACAGCCCATCGGTCCGACATCCCATTAGTCCGACGTCCCGTTGTTCCGATATATGATTATACTAGGCTATACTGTATTAGTGTACCATAGAGGATCAGCAAACGCAACAAAAGTAGGCTACTGGTCGAGATACAAGTGTCATAGAGAGAAGAGAATGAAACACCATAACCTCCTGTTATTAACTCTGGGGTCAGGGTTGTGTGGGGAGCTCTCCGCGGTGCTGAACGGCTCCCAGCGGGCGTATTTCTGCCTTGATGGTGCACCACGACAGGCTCTGGGTCCGCTGGGAAAGGCTTGAGGTGGAGCAGGCTTACAGCTTATGTGTTTGTCACTTTCTTTTTCATTTTAACCCACACCATGATCTTTTCCTGACCCTAACCAAGTGGTTTTTGTGCCTAAACCTAACCAGACCTTAACCACAGGGCATCATGATGATTTCGGAACAACGGGACTTTGGAGCAATGGGTTTAATATGGTCGGAACAATGGGATGTCGGACCAATGGGATGTCGGACCAATGGGAGGTTGGACCAATGGGCAGTTCCCCTTGAAAACACGTGAGCCTATCCTTTACAACCCAGTGATGGCCAGAATAAGTGCTGGTGCTCTGCATTTCTACAAACCACAGATACATTACATTTGTGTAGTGGGTACACTTCGTTGTGGATTGGAAAATAACATGTTATGGCTTAAAGTACCCAGTTTTGGAAGCTGAAAAGACTCTGGACACGCAGCTATGTCTTGATAGAAAACAACCACTTTTCGTTGCACGCGGTGGCAGGTCGGTAAAAACCAACTATGTTTGGTGACTAAAAAACTGCTGGAAGACACAGTGATGACTAAAAAAAGCATCCAGTTTTGCTGTCAGTGGTCTGCAGCTCGGCAGGCATCTCACCTAACCGACACGTCATCCCCTGTACCCTCCACAATGTCAGTTATTATACTACATAAATGCCTCTTTTACTGAGAGGTTTCACAACTGCATATAACGAAGTCATTTCACTTCTTTGTTACCATGTGATGTCCTTTTTAGGTTAATGTAAACATGCGTTGTTTAGCTATTTCAACAAGCAATGCTGACATTTCTCAGGTAATTACAGTCTCAGTATTTCCATCCACAGCCCACGTTATTGACGTACAGAGGCAAACTTGAAACACTGACAGGCTTTCAATTGTGTGTGTTAAGCCTATATTTTTCAGTGTGCCCCTTTGTATTTGTGTCCGCTTGCTATCAGTGAGTGTGAAGGATATTTCTTTTTTTTATCTGTCGAAAATATTTTTTTTTACTCAGTTCTTTAGTTCACGAACTCTCAGCTGCCAGAGAAGAATCAGACTTTATTCCAGCTCTATTCACTGAAAAAGTTATGTGAGGTCTTTATAAGATTTGCATCTGGAAAAAGATTCACTCTTACAATATATCTGCCTCTACACTTTTCAAAATACAAACCCATTGGTGTCTCTGCACACTCTCTGGAGTAAGATTTGTTTTAAAACTGAGAAGCGAGGGTTAAACCTTTAGCATCAAACTTGGTGTTTCTGTGCGCCACAGAAATATTGCTTCATTGTGAACTACACTAACTGAATCCTTTATCTGCAGGGCAAACATTAATCAAAACACAAAACCATCTAGATTAATTTGTCTTTCACACTGGAAGAGCTGCTGGAATTTGGAGGTCTACGTGAAGGCCAGTGAGCTGTCACCTGAAGGAGGTAAATATGCATAATTTTGAAAAATCTTTCAGTCTGTCGTGCAGGACCTAGTTTCAGGAAAAGTAATAGAAAAACATTTGAAAAGGTTATATTGTTCACTCCTAAAATGAAAACAGCTGCAGTTGGGCCACAGCTTGGCCTTTCCATCTCTGAGTGGACAAATTGAATCGAGTTGCAAACATTTGGAGTTGAGGGTTTTGTATTTAAAGGTGAAGGGCTGTCTGCTCCCAAGTCTACACCTGTGACCATGATGGCATCATGTTTAATCTGGCCTTAGGAAGTTGTAGGTTTACTAAAGATTTACTAGAAATAGTTTTTACACCGATGGTTCGTTTGCTCTGGTCTGCACTGCACTGCTCTGGTTACAATGTTCCACGTTGCCTTTTGGTTTGTGTTTACATGACAGCATTTAAAAACAGAAGAAAACTGCTGTCTAATTGGTCAGAATTTCCATCAGGCACAACCATCAGGTATGCC